ATATATATATATACATTTGAAATTATATAGTGAAATACATAAATACATATTTAAATTTTTATTATTTGTATTTAGATACACATAATTAGATACATTTTTTTCTCAAATACATGTATTTTTACTTATGTACCTGCATCTTTAATTAATTATACTATAATTATTCATGCAAAAATATTTTTTTTCGGAGGAGTATTCACGTCGGTATCTGTGAGATACTTTCATGCCGCCTGCTTTCCTATCAAATGCTGCCCTCTGTTACATATCAGAACGTAAAACGAACCTTTAGTTCGCAGGCGCATCTTTCGGTATATGTATATATCAGTTCTCTATCTCTATGCAACCGGAATGCATTTCTTCCTCGTGTCTCGCTGATGCTGGAACCGCTATTGCCTCCTCTCTCTTTCTCTTTATCTCTTATTTACCCTCCATCACACTTTTGTCTCCTCCGACCTTCGTCCTTAACGTATCAGTTCCACAGTACTTGCGTGGTAGCGGCCGTTTTCACAGCGACCTCACTACGAAACCTCACAACCAGTTCCAGTTACTAATAGTCCGTTTGCTACTTGATGCGGCAACAGTTATTCCTCGCTGCTCTCGCTGACTGCCTATTTATCTCCCAATCAATGATTTCTTTTCTCCTTGCATTCCCTTACTTGTTTTCTTCGCAAATAATTATATTCTATTTTCTTACACTCGCGCGATTCTTATCCGAATGTCCGTGAACGCCCGATAAGAGTCACAGTGTCAGGGTCAGTGTGAGTGGGGCAACGCAGCGGCGTGTAAAAACGAACGTCAGGAGAGTTTGCGGTGTGATACGAGTGAAGGAGTTCACCTCGTCTCTCTCTCTCTCTCTCTCCCGCCTGACAACCGTTATCAGTCAACCGTCAACGAAACATGTCTCTCATCGTCGACTGCTTTCGCCGTCTGACGGACATCTCGTCCTGCAAAAGCGAGGTACGCAACACGTGCTGCTTATCTTGTCAGTTGCGCGATAAGCATCTGATGTATTAGAATACAAAATAGAATGCGCTCTTTAATTACATTCTTGAGGAGCAACAGGCAATCGGAATATCTCTTAAAGATATTCCGATTGCAATTTCTTTTTTTTTTTAATAATTATATTTATTGAATGATATATTTGCTGATTAAACTGTATAATTAAGCTGTGTTCTGGGAATAAATAAGATATATAAAAATAAAAGTAATAAAAAAATTCTCTTAATTATCGAATTATCATAATATCCAAGTGTTCAGTACATAGTGAAGTATTTATTACTTTTACCGCTAATATTATTGTATTTACTACAGTAATATTTACACTCTTATTAAGATTATTTCTGTATTTATTTTTTCAGTGTGTGTGTGTGTGTGTGTGTGTGTGTGTGTGTGTGTG